GTCGTTTGAGGTGCTGGTGCATAGCCGTCGTGCTTTTATGATAGGCCATTTCCACCTTACAAAGCCAGCAAACGACTGAATCACTTCCTTTTTGGTTAAAATATCCCCACACTGTAGAACTGCGTGTTCGGGTGGAGTGGTTTAAGTCGACTGCGACTGCCTCACTCATGTTACTGCTACTCGCTGCCGTCATGTGTTTTTTTGAAAGTGACGACGTATCAATGCAAATTTTTTTACGTCGACGTATTTTACGCGTGGAAGTCTTCACTTCAGTTGAAACTGAGTGTCAGCCAGTGTGTTTAAGTAAATGGACTGGAATGCAGACACTAAAGGAGACGGAACTGAGTGGCAAACAAAAGCGAGCCTTTTATTGTGGCATATAACATGAATACACAAAACAAGGCAAAAGGTAAACATGGACAAAAATTGAACCAAAATCTAAACTGGGGGAAAAAAGACTGTGATGTGACTCTGACAGGAATGTGATTTTGAGCAGGGACATGCAAATAACTATGATGAAACAACAAGAACATGAACATGACCTGAGGAAAATCATGAAAAACTCTTAACCTGATGTGACGTGGAGGGAAGGAACACAAATGACCTGACAAAGACTGAATGAAACACACAGACTAAATACGTACACACAGGAGGTGATCAGGGGAAGTGGAAACACATTGGGAAACAAACAACATCACAGGAAAAGAGTAAAACTAAACACACTGAACAAAGAAACACAAGACATCCAAAATAAAACAGGAAACACGGAGAGACGTAGGGGTGACAACACAGGCTTGACAACATGAAACAAACAGACAAGAAATACAAGTCATACTGACACAGAGGACAAGGGCTGACCCACACAAGGGGACATAGATGAAAACCTAAACTAGGTGGTGGTCACTGGAGGTGAAGGGAACCATCAGGCTGAAGGAGTCCTATGATGTGGTTCTGTTGGCTGCATCAGGTGGTGGCCTCCAGCTTGCACTGAAACGATTCTCAGCCGAGTGTGAAGCAGTAGGTGAATTTTGCTTGGAGCATGACAAAATTTGAAGTTTTTTTTTAATCTGTGAAATGTCGCCTTTTTGAAAATGTTCTCTTTGGTCTGTTACACGTGGTAGATTGCGGAATTCGATTTTTTGTGTTTTATGTACATTTCACGAAATGAAATAACTTCTTATTTTTTAACTGTTTGTTGTTTTCACTGTGTTTGGTGGTCATAGAAATGGTTTTATATGAGCTCTTAACTGTGAGGTTTCTGTGGATACCACACATGTCAGAATGCATGATTTTGCTCTTATCTTGGGTGAAGCTGAACTATTCAGGGAGCAACTTTGGGTTTTTAGAAAGATAAGAAAACATTCCTATAAAGGTCAGGGGTGCACTTGATTTATGACAAAATGAGACCATAACAGAAAAGATTAATTACAGTAATTAAATTAATTACAAAGTGATTTTGTTATCACTTTTTAGTTTTACTTTATATAATTACTTTTTAGCTTAAAAAAAAACCAAATTTGTTTAGCCTAGTCATTTGGACCTGCACTAAGGCCCAATACAAGATAAAGTTGGTATATTTTGAACTGTACAGCATGCCAAGCTGCTCTAGTAGACTGCAAAGATTAATAGAGAAATTCACAGTTTCAACTGATAAAAGAACTTTACTGACCTTGATTTGCTGTGCAGCTTACCAGTGACATCAGAACTACAGAGAAAGATGGTCAGGTTAGTTTGAGGTTTCACAGCAGAGAAAAGAAAAATGGAGATCAGCGTGTGTGAAACATGCACATTCAAATGAGCACAGGAAGCAGCAAACCACTCTCTAATGTAGGTTTGCAGCAGACCAGATGTCTGCAATGGAAACGGAGAAGACAGAAAGCATCCTTTTCACTTTTCACGCTATATGTCTTCCTTTTGTCTTTTATAGATGTTGTAACCTGGGGATGATCACACGATGGTAAAAAAACTGAACACTTTTTGATTTAAATGTTGTATGAATACTGAGTAGTGTTGATATTTTTCTTTTATTTCTGATTTTATGCATGACCTAAAAAAACACTGTGTAGCTTAAAGGACAGATACAACAGATACTTGCAGTTACTGTTTACAGGGTTTTTTGTCTTTATAGTTCTGGAACATAAACAAATACTAAGAAGTGTTTTGGGAACCATGCAAAAATTGATGATTCCTCTTGTGACTTGTCATCCATCAAAATGTCAACTTGTTTCAGCCACCATTATTTAATGGTGGAGTAATAACTTGGTTGAACCATCCCTAAAAAGGGCTATTTGAAACTTAAAGAAGTAATTTTAGCTAGTAACAATAATTTTCTAAAATGGAATTTTTATTATCTTTTTCTTATGCTGCTAACTGTCTCATAACCCATTGGAGTCATTGTGTGAATATGCTAAAAAAGATGATTGTAGCATCATTCCCCAATGTAGTTGTATGAAATTAAAGAGTAAACTTACAGATTAACTGTGGTAGAGAAGATCCTTCCATCGTGCTATATTGCAATGTGTAGGATCAGTTTACGGTGACATCAGGCGACAGAACACTCCTCTTCCTGACTCACTGTGGCTTTCAATGTTGTGGTTTCCTCTTTAGAGAAAAAAAAAATTCTTTGTGATTGTCTACAGAGAAGATATTCTTAACAAAAGAAAATTAGACATAACACTATCAAGGAAAAAGAAAATCTAGAAGCTGAATTACAAAGCAAAGGGGAACACTGGTAAAATCTGTAGATATTTACAGTTTTTTCTGAATGCTTAAACCCTAACTGTGATTCTTATAGCACAATTCCTAAAACTATTAATACT